GACTGATGCCGATTTATAGTGCTAGCTCACTGAGATACCATGCCGCAGTTTAACATGAATATCCCACTCAGACTCAGTATACTGACTCCGAGCCGATCGAACCCCGGACCTTCCGCTCTCCGGGCGGACGCTCTACCACTAGACCACGGAGGCGGTCTGAGCTTCTTTGGTAAATTGGGGAACACACCATTGGTCTCCCCTTTAAAGTGAATCTCTGAGATCCCAGAACACGGGCATCATGCACCCTGGCCGACCATCACACGTTTATGTGTGTGTTGGTACAGTAAACTACGTTTATAACGAACACGCTTATAACGAACTGACTGATATAACGAACTTATTGTTTAGTCCCGGCCATCTGTTGTATATATGCTGTATATATGTTGTATATATGCTTATAACGAACTACGGTTATTGGGAACTAGAATGAGTGGTCCCTTTGAGTTCGTTATGACCGTAGCTTACTGTATATCTGTAGTCACTTGTGGCCTGGAGAACGACTGAGTAACACCCCTTTCGGTCGAGGCAATGGCCGGTGCAACGATAATGATATGGGTACCATCAATGGTCCCCCCGCAGTTGATATCCTTCTATTGATGACGTTTTGGAGTTGAGCACCTGTCTGGAAGTCACATATCTTGGTGACTATGCTTGTCGAAAAGGCCACTAACGGGATCGGGTCGTCAGGCTCGCTGACTTGGTTGATGCTTGTCATCAAATCTCAATTGCGTGGATCGATGATCATGATATCAATCACTGGATTGTCTGGTCCAGACTCGATTATTTACAGACCGCCGTCATATAGCTTGAATATTGCTGAGTGCGGCGTTAAACAACAAACCAACCAACCAACCACATATGTTGGTAGAAGTGTTTCAGATGTAGCAGCACATACGGTGTTCACACATGTCAACACAGTTGCGATTTCAACCCCAAAAAGATTACCAATATTGCTGTATTCTGCGTAGGAGGCAAACTAATATATATATTTAGCAACTCTATTTGGCAACTCTGTGATGGAGATCAATGGCTCTATCACGGGGGTTCCACTGACAGGGAAGCTCCTCGTAGAGGAAATTAAATGTTTCTCGTGTCATGCTGAAATTGTATGTCCACTGTTCAATGTCGAAATTTCCTCTGACGGTGAACGGTTCCTTGCCCATACATTTTTGTCCTTCGTTTATCCTAGAACACATAGGGAGTACTCACAATCTCGCCTCCTTTACAGAATCAGCAGTTTACTGATTGCGCGTACTTATGTCTGACCTAAATCACTAAAAAAGGCTTCATAACGGAACGTTCCAACAGTATGCAAATCAGAGATACTGTCATTGTATAAATGACCACTGAACAGAAAGTCAAGATACTTTACTCCTGCAAGTATGTCTACTCAATATGCTAATGCACTCACAGAAGTAATTGTGGGCATGTAAATGAGGCTTTAGATAACTACCTGGCGCCTTAAGCCCCATTCACATGGACAAAATTTACTCATGTAAGCAAATTTACTCATGGAGTATATTTACTCATGTAAGCAAAAGTATATTTTACATTGCGTTCACATGAAGTTTATGCAAGGCAGAAGTAAACAGCATTTCATAAATATATTGTGGACTTTTATCAATTGAGGCCAAGTCGCTGTAGAAGATACTCAACCAGAGGCGAAAGAGAGACTTTCCATACTTTCTTAGTATGGGATTAGTCTTAGGATTATGCCAGGAAAGAGAACTGTGGAAGAGAGAACGTTCTCAACACTGGTGGAACAATGTCGTCAAACGATCATTTGATGATAAACTGTGGATCGATAACTTTCGCATGACACGCGAAACATTTTATGTTCTTTGCAAGAAACTACAGCCGTATTTTCCTGCACAGGAAATGTATGTGAGGGAACCATTGGAGCTGGATCCCAAGGTGGCCATAACAATTTACTGGCTTGCCTCCTCTGCGGAGTTTAGAACAAGCAGCATCCTGTTTGGGGTTGGTATCTCAACCCTGCATAAATGTGTGCATATCTGCAGTGCAATTACAGAAATTTGTTGGCAAAATATGTGAAACTTCCAGTAGATGACGGATTAAAGGTTGTCATTACTGGCTTCCAAGAGACATGGGGATTCCCAAACTGTGCAGGGGCAATTAATGGAACCCATATCACCATAATTGCACCTTCACTAGCTCACGGTGACTACCTCAATAGGAAAGGATTTTATTCTATTCTCCTACAAGCATTGTGTGCCCATCAGTACATAATCACTGATGTGAATGTAGGATGACCAGGCCAAGTTCATGATGCCAGGGTCTTTGGCAATTCAGAACTGTACTATAAAGGAGAGACAAACGACTTGACACCAAACTGGACCAGGCAGTTGAGATAGCCTGACAAGCAAGTATCAATGCCAGTTGTGATTTTGGGTGATGCAGCTTACCCTTTGGATTTAAGATGCTTACGTAAGCAAATGGAGAATCTGTTCACATGACCAGAAATACTCCAGGAGCATTTATACTTATGAGTAAATATACTTTTACTAGACCTCATCAGGTGTAGCAAATATACTTTTACTCATGTCTCTTTACTCCTGGAGTATATTTACTCACGTAAGCAAATGCGTTCACATGCCACCATAAGTAAATTTACGTAAATGTAAGTATATATACTCACGTAAGTAAAAGTGTCCATGTGAATGGGGCTTTAGACGACTTATCGGAAAACTCCAACGCAATCCGCCTTATCAGAAAACTCCAACGCAATCCGCCTTATCGGAAAACTCCAACGCAATCCATCTTATCAGAAAACTCCAACGCAATCCGCCTTATCGGAAAACTACACGCAACGCGCCTTATCAGAAAACTCCAACGCAATCCGTCTTATCGTAAAACTCCAACGCAATCCGCCTTATTGCAAAACTCCAACGCAATCCGCTTTATCGCAAAACACGAACACAATCCGCCTTATCGTAAAACACGAATACAATCCGCATTATCGAAAAACTCAAACCCAATCCGCCTTATCGTAAAACTCCAACGCAATCCATCTTATCAGAAAACTCCAACGCAATCCGCCTTATCGGAAAACTACACGCAACGCGCCTTATCAGAAAACTCCAACGCAATCCGTCTTATCGTAAAACTCCAACGCAATCCGCCTTATTGCAAAACTCCAACGCAATCCGCTTTATCGCAAAACACGAACACAATCCGCCTTATCGTAAAACACGAATACAATCCGCATTATCGAAAAACTCAAACCCAATCCGCCTTATCGTAAAACACGAATACAATCCGCATTATCGAAAAACTCCAACCCAATCCGCCTTATCGTAAAACACGAATACAATCCGCATTATCGAAAAACTCCAACCCAATCCGCCTTATCGTAAAACACGAATACAATCCGCATTATCGAAAAACTCCAACGCAATCCGCCTTATCGTAAAACACGAACACAATCCGCATTATCGAAAAACTCCAACCCAATCCGCCTTATCGTAAAACACGAATACAATCCGCATTATCGTAAAACTCAAACGTAAGTCTTCATTACTTTGGCAAGTCTATCTGTTAGGTCGAATACGTAAAGTATACCCTGAGTGAGAGAGTGAGTGACTTGTGTTACGGAGCATGCTGTGAACTGTACACTCAGTTCTGTCACGCCGCGTGTCAGCTGGATGTGATATGTCTGTAAGCCCCAAGTGATGCGGGTCCTAGACGTCACCACTAAGTGACATCCAGCACGTCATGGTGCTGACATACCAAGGATCAGGCGACCCGTGAAGTTCCGGGGTAGAATAGGTCTTCAGCAACCCATGCTTGCCGTAAAATGCGACTAACGGGATCTGGTGGTCAGGCTCGCTGACTTGGTTGTTGCACGGTCATCGATCCCAACTGCGGGGACCGATGCTCATGATATCAATCACTGGATTGTCTGGTCCAGACTCGATTATTTACAGACCGCCGTCATATAGCTGGAATATTGCTGTGTGCGGCGTTAAACAACAAACCAACAAACCAACCAAGCAAGGATCATGCGTACTCAAGGTGAGTGTGGGATTCGAACACATGCTCATTGATTCATGTCACGTTTTATAATGGACGCATTTCAACGGACAGCGTGAAATATATATGTAGGTAATGCACTAACTTTCGAAATGTTTCGCTATTTCAGACAAAATCTGTCCCGCAACTAAAAATACCCAATAATAATAATCAATAATAATGTGGACATAAAATTTTGGTCACGTGGGAAATGTTAACAATTTGTACACACATTTCCAGGCAGACTCCTGTATGTACAGTCCCTGAAACATACGCACGCACGCACGCACGCACGCACGCACGCACGCACCCACGCACGCAAATAAAAAACTAAAATTACAAAAATAGAAAAACCATCCCACGGATGCATGTCTTCAAGAAATCTTCAATTTAGGTCTCAAGCTAAACTATCATTTTTAGGTGTTAAATTCTCTTCTTATAGAAACTAGAGTGAGTATGGTTTTACGCCATTTTTAGCAATATTCCAGCAATATCACGGCGGGGGACACCAGAAATGGGCTTCACACATTGTATCCATGTCGGGAATCGAACCCGGGTCTTTGGTGTGACGAACGAAGCTTTAACCACAAGACTACCCGACCGCCCCTAATAGATATTAGAAAAGAGCCGAGAAAACCTATTCAATTTCAGAAGAAATCTAGACTTGCTAAAGTATCGACGACTTGCTTTGGAGATTTCGGATATTAATATTTCAGGTTCTGAATAAGAGACTAAGTGCTTCAGCCTCCAGCGACGCTCGTGGCTGTTTGATTACACATTAAAAGACAATAAAAAATGCTTAGCCTTAAAGTATTTTCATTTCAGAGGCTAAAAGTAAGTCTAGTTTGGTAAAACACGATATTCCCGATGTTAATTCTCCAGGCTTTCAGACCTGCTATCGAATTAACCAAAGCTCGTAAAATTCTTGATAGCTCGCATGGAGCCACGAGGTGGAACTTTTCATCGAGCTACGCCATGCACAAACACTTCGACAGATCCCGTTTGATCTTAAACGAGGAATGTCAATTTCACCGACTGGCACGCAAGTTGGAGCCGTCCTTAATAATCGTGTTAATTGCAACATTAAGAGCAACGGACACGGGGCAATCATGCAGCGCTGTTGATGGTGTACATCACACACAGGCGAGGAGCACTCAACATCGCGGCAATAGGGCTTTACATTTCACACGAGCGAGAACCGGAGGCAGCTATTTTGAGCCGATATTTCACGGTCTAGATACAACGAATAAAGCAGTGTGGTGACGTTATGTGTGGATTCGTCTCAAGTTCCTGTCCGCTGTACACATGACCAATGCACTAACGCCATCAACATGTTCTTTTCTTGTCGGATGATACTGCTTTTGTCTGCAGGTAGGTGAATACACGATATATAGCCCTTGGTTTGTTTCATCAACTTGCATGTGACCTGGCGAGCTTGGATAAGCGAGCGAACAAACTTCCGCACCAACTTGTCAGTTTCAAGCACATCGGTGTATCCAGCTCGAGTGGGTCACAACTAGTGTATGTTTGGTTCAAGCTGTACGTTAGTCATACTGATATCACCTGAAATACAGCGTCATGTGAAAGTGGTCGATTCGTTATCTCAGTGAGGGGATTGATTACGAAGGGATCCGTCTCCGTATGGCCTGTAAGTGAATTTGTAAACATTAGTCTAAACAGCCTCGTTTTAATAATCGCAACCCAGCCGAGTGGTGTTATTGTCGTGTCCGGCTGCGTTCATAAGGCACATGATACAGATACGACTCCCTCTCTGTGTTACACATGATACGGTTTGTGTGTGTGTGTGTGTGTGTGACGAACGTTATAGTCACTTCCTAGCTTCCCATCTGTTGCGTGTACTCATAATAACAGACAGATCCAGAGGGTGGGTGGGTCCCCCTGACGTGATCCCCCACCCCCATCCTAGGGTGGGGGGGTCCCCCGACGTGATCCCCCACCCCCATCCTTTCCCCCCAATTCTTGACCCGTCTGTGATACTACTACATGTAGGATACATAATATTTCAGCCTGCCGAATGTTGAATAAATAGAACTATCTTTATTACATAACAAAACGGACTCAAAATAGGAATATGGATTTTCCCCCTAATGTGTCTTTTAAATGTGAGCTTTCCTCAGTTAATTCGTCCCTACACTTCCCCATGCTCGTTCCAATTCCCTATGATGGGTAGTTAAGTACCAAGTCATGTACATATTGTGATACAGCCTTAAATATCAATACAACCTACTGAGCAGCTTCAATGTATGTGTAATAACCTCAGTATGGCTGACAAAGCAGACATCTGGGGCACCCTCTCTGAACCGTGATGCTACACACATTGCTCAGAATTGATCAGGGACGAGTCGTTTAATATTCCGGGGGAATGAGGGAGTCATGCAAATTGTTTTGCGGGTAAAATCATTTATATCGGAAAGTATTACTGTCTCGAACAGAAACCCGCCTGCTTCCGCATATTGGCCGCCCGTGATATAACTTACTTATTGCATATTAACAGTGACGTATAAGCCCTATACTGCATGCATGCAGGCACGTTTTGAACGACGACTTGGAATTCCAAACGTAACGTTTATTTCAAATCATGTATGTCATTTGAGGTTTTGAACTGCTACGAAATCCACAGATCAATTTTACAAGTAATATAAGAACAGTCTAGTTGTGGCTTTGGTGTTTGTTTGACTTAAAGGGGCTCTGATCTCTGGCAATTCTCCGGGAGGGGATGTTGCCTTTGTTATTGCTATTTTCCCAGAAATCTCGACTAGTTCGCGACCTATGCTGCGCCACCTGTAAGCGCATTTGTCGCTTTTTATTGATTGTATAAGGGCGTATTGTTACATTGATCAACACAACTGAAGCACAGTTTTGTCTTCGAATTAAAAAGGTAATTTAGGCATCTGGTCAACTGATCATTCCTGTCTTGCTGCACTGTCACGTGCATATTACATAACGTTTAATATATTCATCACATCAGGCCCGGATTTATAAGCCATATATCGTGATTGAATTACCCCAGACACGAGAAATGCAAAATGAGAATTGTCAGGTAATCTGAGTTGTGCTACCGCTGAAACCTGAAGTAAAGTCTTTAACTGAGCAGCAAGTGAATGACGAAAAATACACAAGTGTAGGGTTATACCATATGAAACATGGATGACAACAAGGAAGTAGTAATTCGAGTACATGAACCGAACTTCATTGTTGCAAAATTTCGCTGTATTCTAAAGTACATAATTCTACATACACATTTAGACCCATGCATGCCGTAAAAGGCGACTATGCTTGTCGTAAGAGGCGACTAACGGGATCGGGTGGTCAGGCCCACTGACTTGGTTGATGCATGTCAGCGTGTCCCAATTTCGTGGATCGATGTTCATGATGTCAGTCACTGGATTGTCTGGTCCAGACCCAATTTACAGACCACCGTCATATAGCTGTAATATTGCTGAGTGCGGCGTTAAATAACAAACAAACAACAAAACATGCACATTTACATAAATGTTTTGTTCTTATTATGCACCGCCCAAATAAAGTTTTGCAGGGGATGTGGAAACGTGGCCCGTCCGTCACGTTTCGTTTCCGGGGCATAACTCAAACCATTCAATATTATTTTTAATATGATACGTCTATTGATTAAATATCAAGCCATGAAACATAGAAATGGGATCCAATCAATCTTACGCGTCTTGTCATCCAGGCAATCAAAAATCTGAAAATGCTTTCACTGCGGGAATACTTTTTTTTATATTAAACTGTACATAACCATAGAGGGTATTACCAAATTGGCAATACTAACGGGATCAAGTGGACAGGCTCGCTGCCTTGGTTGATGCATGTCATCGTATCCCAATTGCGTGGGTCGATGTTCACAATGACTGGATTGTCTGGTCCAGACTCGATTATTTACAGACGCTGTCATTTAGCTGGAATATTGCAGAGTGCGGCGTTAAACGACAAAGCATTATATATAGTTTCTTGTCAATGCAATCACCTTACAAAGAGAATAAAAGCAAAGCTTTCTCTAAAGAAAGTAAGTAGTCACATTAGCGTAAAATACTTAATACCCTGCCCCTTTAACAAAATTAGCATTTAAACTTCTCACTTAACCTACCGATCCCAAAACAAACAAATCATTAGAGATATATTGACTTGAACTATGAATCTTGGGAACGTTGATAATGTTACAAATGTTATATTTCGTATAACACTTTCTTAGTAAAGTACACATTCTAGTCCTTTTTTTGGGTTGAGTCCCATCCGGGATTAGAACCCACACTATCAGAGTAAGGCACCTAAAAACAACACTCAAAAACTGCGATCTACCCCACTCAGCCACCGAGGCCTCCACAAAAATGGTTGATTATGTTGGTTGCAAATTTGTCATAACCAAACATAGTTCAGCGGGTGTGATTAATGGTTAACTTGGAAGTCGTGTCTCCAAACGGAAGTGACCTTTACCCTTATGTCATATTTTGTTCCAGTTGAGTGCGCAGCCTCCCTCAAGTGTTGGAAATGCATTGCCGACAACTGTGATGGGGACCCGGATGCAAACTATAAAGCCGTGAAGATGACCTGCGCCTCTGATCGTAGCTCTTGCATGGTGAGCTTGTTTGACGTGACCCCTGAATGATGAGATTGATTTACGTGGCCCCTGAATGAGGAGATTGGTTTACTTGGCCCCCGAATGATGAGATTGGTTTACTTGGCCCCTGAATGAGGAGATTGGTCTACTTGGCTCCTGAATGAGGAGATTGGTTTACGTGGCCCCTGAATGATGAGATTGGTTTACGTGGCCCCTGAATGATGAGATTGGTTTACTTGGCCTCCGAATGATGAGATTGGTTTACGTGGCCTCTGAATGAGGAGATTGGTTTACGTGGCCCTTGAATGATGAGATTGGTTAACGTGGTCCCTGAATGAGGAGATTGGTTTACTTGGCCCCTGAATGAGGAGATTGGTTTACTTGGCCCCCGAATGATGAGATTGTTTTACGTGGCCCCTGAATGAGGAGATTGTTTTACGTGGCCCCTGAATGAGGAGATTGGTTTACGTGGCCCCTGAATGAGGAGATTGGTTTACTTGGCCCCCGAATGATGAGATTGTTTTACGTGGCCCCTGAATGAGGAGATTGGTTTACGTGGCCCCTGAATGAGGAGATTGGTTTACGTGGCCCCTGAATGAGGAGATTGGATTACATTGAACCTGAATGATGAGATTGGTTTGCTTGGCGGCCCCCGAATGATGAGATTGGTTTACTTGGCCCCTGAATGAGGAGATTGGTTTACGTGGCCCCTGAATGAGGAGATTGGTTTACTTGGCCCCTGAATGAGGAGATTGGATTACATGGAACCTGAATGATGAGATTGGTTTGCTTGGCGGCCCCTGAATGATGAGATTGATTTACTTGGCCCCTGAATGAGGAGATTGGTTTACTTGGCCCCTGAATGAGGAGATTGGTTTACTTGGCCCCTGAATGAGGAGATTGGTTTACTTGGCCCCTGAATGAGGAGATTGGTTTACGTGGCCCCTGAATGAGGAGATTGGTTTACGTGGCCCCTGAATGAGGAGACTGGATTACATGGAACCTGAATGATGAGATTGGTTTACTTGGCCCCTGAATGATGAGATTGGTTTACGTGGCCCCTGAATGAGGAGATTGGTTTACTTGGCCCCTGAATGATGAGATTGGTTTACGTGGCCCCTGAATGAGGAGATTGGTTTACTTGGACCCCGAATGATGAGATTGGTTTACGTGGCCCCTGAATGATGAGATTGGTTTACTTGGCCCCCGAATGAAGAGATTGGTTTACTTGGCCCCTGAATGATGAGATTGGTTTACTTGGCCCCTGAATGAGGAGATTGGTTTACTTGGCCCCTGAATGAGGAGATTGGTTTACTTGGCCCCAGAATGAGGAGATTGGTTTACGTGGCCCCTGAATGAGGAGATTGGTTTACGTGGCCCCTGAATGAGGAGACTGGATTACATGGAACCTGAATGATGAGATTGGTTTGCTTGGCGGCCCCTGAATGATGAGATTGGTTTACTTGGCCCCTGAATGAGGAGATTGGTTTACTTGGCCCCTGAATGAGGAGATTGGTTTACTTGGCCCCAGAATGAGGAGATTGGTTTACGTGGCCCCTGAATGAGGAGATTGGTTTACTTGGCCCCCGAATGATGAGATTGGTTTACTTGGCCCCCGAATGATGAGATTGTTTTACGTGGCCCCTGAATGAGGAGATTGGTTTACATGGCCCCTGAATGAGGAGATTGGTTTACGTGGCCCCTGAATGAGGAGATTGGATTACATGGAACCTGAATGATGAGATTGGTTTGCTTGGCGGCCCCTGAATGATGAGATTGGTTTGCTTGGCGGCCCCTGAATGAGGAGATTGGTTTACGTGGCCCCTGAATGAGGAGATTGGTTTATGTGGCCCATGAATGAGGAGATTAGATTACATGGAACCTGTATGATGAGATTGGTTTGCTTGGCGGCCCCTGAATGATGATATTGGTTTACATGGCCCCTGAATGAGGAGATTGGTTTACATGGCCCCTGAATGAGGAGATTGGTTTATGTGGCCCCTGAATGAGGAGATTGGATTACATGGAACCTGAATGATGAGATTGGTTTACATGGACCTTGAATGATGAGATTGGTTTACATGGACCCTGAATGATGAGATTGGTTTCCTTAGCCCCTGAATGAGGAGATTGGTTTACTTGATCCATGCATTGGGAGATTGTTTGACTTGGCCCTGCATGGTTTGATTGTTTGACTTGACCTCTGCATGGTGAGATTGTTTGACTTGACTCCCTACATGGTGAGATTGTTTGACTTGACCTCTACATGGTGAGATTGTTTGACTTGACCCCCTACATTTTGAGAATGTTTGACTTGATCCTGCATAGTGAGATTGTTTGACTTGACCTCTGCAGCTGCATGGAGTGATTGTTTAACTTGATCCCCTAAATTGTGAGATTGTTTGACTTGGCCCCTACATGGTGAGACTGTTGTTGACTTGACCCCAAAATGATGATATTGTTGTTGCCATGGATATTGACTGGATATGTTCTTCAGCTACAGCTGCAAGACCAGACATAATTAAATTTAAAACTGTAAACCTAAATTATTAAATAAAGACATTTTGCAAAAATGAGTAGTTTTTGAGGCAATTTATTTCTTCTTTTTTTAACAGTCTGAAATATAACTATTTTTTCAAGCATAAGCTGGGACAAAGGCAATTTATTTCTTCTTTTTTTAAACAGTCTGAAATATAACTATTTTTTTCAAGCATGAGCTGGGACACTTTAGTTTGTTTGGATAAAATCTTCCCAACCCAAATCAAGAATATCAAAATATCAAATGGTCGCATCTAAGACATGTACATCTTATCATGTTGATATTTAATGCCTGTCCTGTTGTCTTCCAGAAAGTGGAATATTCTTTGGACCAGAACCACACCGGCGTCATCCAGAGGTCTGTGGTAAGGACATGCTCTGCTGGGCCATGCGTACCCGTCACGGAAAACCAGTTTTCTGATTGCGCAATGAAGAAGAACCACCACGTGCTTGGCTGTATCAAACGGCAGTGTTGTGACGACAGAGATATGTGTAATGGCGGACAAAGTGGCTTCATCAATGTAGTGATGCTTTATATTCTCATCTCTGTAAGTGTTATTGGACATATACTGGATCATTAACGGACTGTCTCCGAGGTGACCACTCGGCCTGTCTCACTGGACCTCGACCAGCGCTAGCTGGTCTTCGTATTGGAACTATTTTTTTCACATCTATAATCCTAATACGCCTGTTCAAATTGTTCCGTTTTGTTTTTTTTGTCTTCAAATGAATGTCTATAGCTAATTTCTATTGAGCACAGAAGAATAACGCGTCTTTTAAAACGGCCATGGTGCCCTGCGAACTACATTCGGCGGGATCTGGCGTTTACAGTTTACTCACGCAATATAACTACGCATTGCTACCCGAAGTAGGTAGCGGATTAACCGAGCGGAGCCGAATGAGGTTTAGACGTCACGAAGGAAGGCAAACTTTGCAAAACGGGTCCAAAAGAATACCAATTGTGACAAGAACAGTATAACATTTAATGTGTCCGACAAAAAGAAGAAGAAAGGTCTTGTGAAAGGAGTCTGCTATATGTGTGTGGATATATGTGTTGGAACAGTGCTCAATGCGTGAAGCGTGTATATATTCTTGGTGTGACCATTGTGTACTGATCATAGTTTCACAGATCTCTTAATTTATTGATGTTCCTGTATTACAATAGGGGTCCGGACCATTCGTCACCACTCGCCCCTTTCCGTAACCTGCAAGAAGACTCGTCCCCCCAACGATGGATGTTATGTGCGAAAATACGACAAACCAATCAGAATGCGCGTATGATTTCAAGTTGTTCATCAAAGAATCCCTCAGAAATATTTTTTAATTTTACATATGTCGTGCATCTAAAAATATACCCAAGACACAGTTAAATGTGTTCAACCATTCTGTATAATTCCGCATGTCCAGATGTGCTTTACATTGCATCTGAAATATATATAATATATGGGGAGATATATGTGAACCATTACGCAACGAGTTGACAATTGTTTTAGGTATGCCCGTATGCGCTAAGACGGAACCCGGTCGCAAAAATGGCCATGCGAGGGGCACGAGTTGCTATTCGGCTTGTCCCGGAATAACACGAGTTGGTCACGAATGGGGTCCGGAATACTCTCAATCTGGTGCCTATCTTCAAGACTGCCAATCTGCCCGAGCCTACAGTCTCCGTTTAATCCAAACTCTGTACTCTGTGGCCATAGAAACATACGCCATGGGAAGTATTAATGATCCCTCTCAAATGTAATATATAACTGGCAGGTGCAATCTCATTAATATCAGATCATAGTGCTTGCTGTGACGTGAACTAATATCTGATTTTAATGAGATTGCGGGCGGGTGCGATGTGTTTTAGTGTTCGGCGACACGTTTCTGTAGCGAACTATAGATATAAAACACAACGCCGAACACCAATATTTTCTCACCGACAGAGGGCGTGTGTTTAACAATGGCCACTCGGCTTGTTGCATCACCCAAAGTGTCATGATGCAAAAGTGTCCTCAGTGATTTACAATTCAATAGAAATAATTTTAGCAGGAAGTGTTCGGCGTTGGGTTTGGTTATAAATTATAAATATATTGGACTGCACACTCGAATTGCAAGTAATTTATAAACGACGATGGCTCCGCATTTGGTGGACCCTCAATTATCCAGCGTATAGTATCTCCATTCTTTTGTGATAAATAATATTAAGATGACGATAAGATGAACTGGATAATCGAGGACCTAATCTGGCTGATGGTGTTAAATCATATACCATGATGAAGTGCTTTAGTGGACATATACTTTGAACCAATGATGCGTACGGCCCCGATTTAATTATTTTCTGGCCAACGTGAAAGCGATGCTGTATTTTTTACCGTGGCCTAAAAAACAAACATCCGTTTATGCCTACAATCCATGCATTTGTCGACGTGATTTTCATTAAGCTGGGTCATGCACGCGCCCTTTTCTTGGCAGATTGCTATCGACGTTATACGTCTGGGATGCTAGCTACATCCGAGTCTCCGCAGTCGATATCAGTGACGCTGGGACGTCATGATTGATTTGTTGAAATATAATCCCCATAATGGGCGTTCGTGAATTCAAAATTGGCCACACCGACATCGCTCTCTGTGTGCTACGCTGAAAGACAGTTTAAACCAAATCTAGACTCGGGTCAATTGGCGGACCAGCAAATGTGATTCAAAACATTCACAGCCCGTTTTGTTAGACTGTAACTCATACTTAATGGTGTCTGTTATACTCAATGCAATTACCATGTGCCTATAGTGTATGTCTGGTATGGTTCGAGTTTCAGAAGTCGGTGGAATAAGTCATTTGGGTATTCAAAGATACTTGTTCATACGACCTAGTGCTTGTTGCAATTGATTCTTGGCATTGTTGCCAAACAGTACGTGGGGTAGGTAGCCTTTAGTAGCAGAATTCCGGGATCACATTCCCGGCATATATGTTTCCAATAATGAAGCCCAACGTTGGTGCCAATCATCATACTGCATGGTGCACTACTACTAGCAGAGACCATATACCGATATATCGATATATATTGGTATATGATCTCTGCTACTAGAAACACTAGGCACCGGCTCTCTCAAGTTGTGGCTTTAATAAAACAATTTTGTTTCTCCTGATTCGACCGCCCCCGCCCCCGCCCCCGCCCCTAAATGTTGAGAAGTCAATTAAGCACAGTTAAGAAAGGACTTTTCCAATTCAAATGTCATCTTTGCACAATATTCTTACTTATTGCAGACGCCATACCATTCACAGTTCTTCAGGTTCGCAAGAGAACCAAACCGTCCTCAAAATGGCTGTAGGCCCGTCTCTGCACACTTCAAACCGCAGGGGGCGTGGTCCAAAGATTTGTAGATTTGTAACTGCCTTAATAATTTCTTAAAAATGCCCCCTTCCCAACAAATTTTAAGTGAAAACCTGACACTTTTGTACCGAAAGCAACGTTTTGAATTCTTTGAACAACGTGTCAGAGCTACTTTTTGCTCCTACATCAGGTGAATGCTGAGATCCAGATCACCTGATGAAGGAGCAAGAATTAGCTCTGAAACTCCGTACAAAGAATAAAAGAAATTGCTATCAATAATAAAGTGTCATGTATTCATGTTCTCCAAACTTCTAAATGCCTATCAAAGACTTCACTTTTATGTGGACTATAGCCCCGAACGCATACACGATATTATTCTCATGAGTACATTTGCTCATGTGTGAAGTTGCTAACGTACTTAAAAGTAAAATATGCTATGTGTTCGCATAGTTATAAATAAGTGGGTAAATTTGATCACTTACATAAGTCAATCACGTTTGTATCTAGTTTAGATCTGGATTTCAACATAGAAAGGTAGTTGTTTGTTTGTTTGTTGTTTGACGCCGCACTCAGCAATATTCCAGCTATATGAAGACGGTCTGTAAATAATCGAGTCCAGACCAGACAGTCCAGTGACTGACACCATGAGCATCGATCCACGCAATTGGGATACGATGACATGCATCAACCAAGTCAACGAGCCTGACCACCCGATCCCGTTAGTCGCCTCTTACGACAAGCATATTCGCCTTTTACAGCACGCATGGGTTGCTGAAGACCTAGTCTACCCGGGTCTTCACGGTCATAGGAAGGTAGTTGTCTTACAATAGAGAAGTTAGAAGATATCCTACCAAATACCTGCTGGTTTAACCAATGACAAGAATACATGTATTTGGAAAACAAATAGGCAATCAGCGTGGTGGGATGACTTTAACACTGGTCATGAGCACAGTAACGGGTACGACATATTCCGAATGAACAGAAATGTTTTCGATTAAATTTGTGATAAGCTCAAGCCAAAGGAAAATTGGGAGCGTTTGCCACAGGAAGTACGATGGGTGTCTGTAACTAGGCACTGGCTGCCCACGTCAGTAATATCGCAATTCGTTCGCTTGACTTCTTCACATATGGAGCATATTTGCTTATGTGTAACTGTAGCTTTGCATCATCTCAGAAGTCGGGGCAATATTTATTCCTCGAGTAATATAATAATGTGATTCATTTTAGAATTGGTCTTCAGCAACACGTGCTTGTCGTAAGAGGCGACTGAAGGGACTGAGTGGTCAGGCTCGGTAACTTGGCTGATGCATGTCATCGTATTCCAGTCGTGTGGATCGATGGTCATGATGTCAATCTCTGGATTGTCTGGTCCAGACGCCTTTATTTACAGACATATAGCTGGAATATTGGAGTGTGGCGTTACACGACAAACAAGAGCAAATGCGTTCGCATAACATAGAAAATGACCAATGTGTTTATTTACTAACGTATGTAAATGCACCAACGTGAGTAAAATGGTGCATGCGTTCTGGGTATATGGATAGATCTGTGGTATTAGACCAAGTTATTGATGCCCGGAACTGCTAGCTATAACTAAATGTGACTTACGTAGGCCGTATCATCACTCCGACGAGGCCTAAAACGCGTCAACCGCGTATCAAATGCACTATCGAGGCTTTTTCTAAGGTAGATGATAACAATGTTATCATGGAATCTTGTTTTCATGGTGTTATCTGGTTATCCATATGTGTTTAGTTGTTGAATCTGGATAACATTTATGATATTTTACACACCAGTTGTATGATTAGCGTTTTGTGAAGTGGAAGCTCAATTTATGCCCAAAATGTTTTGTTTGTTTCTTTAAATAAATGCAAATTTTGTAAAATTAGTTTTGTTTGATTTTTAAAACGAAAACTGGGGTCTGTTCAACGAAGTGATCTTAGCGCTTAGTAAGTCTGTGCTAAGGTATGCTGACGAAGCACAGGAGAATTCCCTCGACCGATCGACCGTTGATATTACTTATCGAAAAAAAAAAAATGTCCCGATATTTCTTGAAAGAAATTATTCCAGTCGTCCCTTTTCCCTATAAGGGGCGGTCGGGTAGCCTAGTGGTTAAAGCGTTCGCTCGTCACGCTGAAGACCCGGGTTCGATTCCCGACATGGGTACAATGTGTGAAGCCCATTTCTGGTGTCCCCCCGTCGTGATATGGCTGGAATATTGCTAAAAGCGGCGTAAAACCATACTCACTCACTCACTGTTCCCTATAAACGATTTTGATTTGACTTGCCGCTTCACAGAGCTACTGGTCGTCACATGTGATTTCCTACTAGATTCCCAATCGGAACACACCGCACTAAGATAGCAACCCAGCTATGATCTACATGATTCGCAAACCCACGAAATCTGTAGCACGCTCCGCTTCGGAAAAATATTGCCTTAACATATGTGTCCTCATATTTTCGATCATGCAATTTTCTATGTAGTCATCGGGTTGGAATCGAGAGGGTTCAGAGTTTGGGCCGCCATCGCTGAGAGTCGTGATGGATAAAAATCTTTAGTGGTTCGGTTTCCAAAGCGATAAGTAAATATATCGTTGCACGATCTAAAATATAAGTACTCGTATATGAAGGCAAGTGTTTAAGGATCGTAGTGAATCATATTTGTCGTTTGATCTACGCAGCTGGGATACGATGACATGCGTCAATTAATGTCAGCGAACCTGACGACAAGGATGGGTTACTGAAGAACAATTCTAACCCGGATCTTCACGGGTTGGTGTGGAATATAATTGATTCAATCTAATTAAAATCAGATTTCAGTTCTCGCTACCGCTAAACCGCTTTGTCTGATTATAATGAGATTGGTAATTGGTTTAATGTCTTCTTGATTGTTTACGACAATGACGACCATGGTTAATTCCTCCAAATGGATACAATTTGTGACTATTACGCCAGCCACACCCATTCCCTAGAAACTTCTTTACAAC